TGCCTGCATGCGCGCTGCCACCTGGCCCCGCGCCCGCGTGCATCCACCCCCACCCGCGCGCATCCACCGCCGCCAGCACGCCGCCGCCAGCCTGCCTGCGCGCCGCCCCTGCCAGCCTGGCCTGCGCGCATCCACCGCCGCCTGCTGCGCCGCGGCGCGCCGCGCCTGGCGCGTGCGCATCCGCTGCACCGGCGCACCGGAGATCGCGCGGGAACGTGGCCAGCGCCGCTACCTGCCGCTTTGGGCTGATACAGCCAGTCAGCGGAGTGTGAAACATATATCCCTGAAGGAAAACGGTAGGAAGCGAGTTAGTTCTATTTCCGGTATGTCTGTTCTGTCTTTCCCAGTATATCTACTACGGTGGACCGGGCTACGTGCGGAGGGGCGCTTTGAGGATCTCTAATGAGAGATGAGGGATATATCCCGAGGGACTCTGAGCAGAGATGGGGATGGATCACGTCGGTGCTCTAATCAGAGATAGGGATATATCCATAGGACAGCTTCTTGTGTACGAGGGACGTGTTGTTTCCCCCTTACACCCGGGACGATCACCTAGCGGTTATCTACGATCGTCTTGGCCCGTTCCCTATTGATTTCGTGCGACGTTGCACGGACGGTCAGGGGCTTGTTGATAGCCAAGGTGAGCTATCAGAAGCATAAAGATGGTCAATGACTTCTGAGATGCCGTCGCAGGAATTCCTCGCTCTAACGAACACGGCGCCATCGGGCAAGGTTCTCTCGAGAAAAGGGTCGCAAGCTCCTGCCAAGACTTAAGCACGCAGGACGTTAGCGACCTCTGCCGCTTCTTGCGCAAGTGCTTCACTATTGATCCATTAGTTAGGCCTACGGTCTCCGAGTTGCTCGCGGATGCTTGGCTCACGCCTTGACGAGCCCTGGCCATCGTAGATACGGGGATCCATGCATGACGCTAGTCTGCATACCCTAGCTGAATATAATACGCTCCCCGTGTTTCGCACTAGATTCCATGCCGCATGCTGTCGTTCGCCCCCGGCTTCGTGCTCGTCTTCTTCGGCCACTCGCTCGACGAGAAGTACTCGCAGCTGATTACGTTCGAGGAGCACGGCTTTAGCAACGAGCGCGCCGTCGAAGACGTGCACGCATTCGTAAGTTCACGCGAAGAGGCCTCGTTACATCGTGCAGCAGTTTTGCATTTTGTGGTCGATGTCGGCCCTATCCGCCGGGCTGCGCCTACACGTCCAAACAGCGCGCTATATTCTCACGTTGCCGGCCTCCTTCCGACCTCTTCCGACACTTGCCAACCTCTGACTGGTCGTTTACCAATCACCACTGGCAACTGCCCAAGAGCTTTACTCTCTACGAATGTCACCGCTCCCTCTGAACTGCGTCGACCAATCCCAGGCCACACCCGCGCGATACGATAGGACGCTCTGATACCGTGTACCAGTCAGGCCGCGTTGTCATTGAAGCGTCCAGATAATTCCGTTTGCGACAAGCCCGGCGTTTGGCGGTCAGTCGCGCCCAAACGCACTGTCTATCCACTCCTCCAGGAGAGCGATCTTTTCAACGGTGGACAAGCTCATGGTCAGCCACTCCATGGTGTCGCGGAGAGCCGCGCCCTCGACAAGCGCCTCCCAATACTCCTGGTCCTTGGCTTTCACAACCTGTGACCAGACGGGCCCATGAGCATCCCAGCCTCCCCTCGCACATCCCGCAAGCAGCACTCACCTCCCTGTACAGCTCGCACAGGCTCGCCGCGTCCTCCGGGCTCACCAAGTACCACCCCACCTTGTTGAACGGGTACTTCGGGTCGAATATCCCGTTGTACCGCAGATAGCGCGGATACTCCGCCGCGACGATCGCAGGCCGCACCGACGCGTACTCCCAGTCGATAACTGCGGCTATCGTGCCCTCGGGCGTCGCGAGGATGTTTGCGTGGTTGAGGTCGTCGTGCGCGAGCACGCAGCGGCGGTGCGCAGGCCGCACCGCGCGCGCACAGAAGACCGCAAGCGCCGTGCCGAGGCGCTCCAGCACGCGCTCGCGGCGCAGGCGTACGTGCGGGTCGAGATCAGTGTCATTGTTATCGTCGGACCCGGAGGCGGACGCCAGCTTGGCCGCGACCATGCTGGCGAGCCAGTCCTCGAGTGTGGCGTAGACATGGGTCGAGGAGGCGCTGGAGACGGAACAGGTCCACGGACAGACGTCCATGGTGGCGCCGTCGGAGCTGCACTGCGGTGAGCCGATGCGCTGCGGGACGGTGAGTCTGAATAGCTCGAGCGCCACATCGGCGTGTGCGCGGACGAGGCGCTCCTGGGGAGTATGTTAGCGACGGATGAGAATGCGACGAGTGACGATGACACGCGGGGAGACGCACCTTGTCGGCGTACGGCAGACGGCTGATCACGTTCAACACGATTTCACCGGGCATCCTGTCCATGACGGCCGCAGGGAACACAAAATCGGTGCCGCTCACGTCGAGGATGCGGCGCACGGTGGGAACCGGGAACGTGCAGCGGATCTTGAGCCACTTGAGCAGGGCGATTTCCCGCCAGAACTGCTCGATGAAAGCCGGGTCCTGCGTGCCGTCCTCCGTGTTTTCCAGGCGCGGCGTACGCACGATCTCACGCGAGCCGTCCTTGTATTGCACGTCGAGCACCTTGCCGGGTCATAGATCAGCGACTTGGGAGAGTGTGGGGCAACAGAGCTTCTTACCAGACTGGAGCTAGACGTGCGAGCGTCCATCTGCACGACTTTACGCGACAGCACGGATTCAACGGTACGCAGCACCGCCCGCCAGCGTTCGTCTTCAGGAGGCTCGCCACCGTCGATGGCGACCCAGCGCTGATACGAGTCAGGCATGCCGTCTTGTACCACTTCCTCGCCTTCACAATTCCACATCGAGATCATGGGTACCATTGGAGAGTACGGGGATGAGATTCAGATGGTGGTATTTCTCCGAGATGAGCTGGGGGGACGTGGGGTCCATCGTGATGTCGGAGGTTGAGGACGATGCAGCGCTGTTTACTATTGCTTATGGGCAAAAGAGCCGGATATAGCAAGTTTTTTGTGCTCGCACGCCCACGGGGCACAGGGTTCCCAGACCGCGTCTGTCTCGTGTACCGCTCTACTTGCGCAAGCGGGTTCCTGGAGGTATAACATACCGGCAAATGTGTTAGATGAGAGGAACTCACAACTTGAACGAAGTGACGGCCCGGGCAAGAGGGACGTACGGTAGAAGGCACGCTGCGAAGGAGGACATCAGTACTGGTGGGTTCATGTTCGTCGAGGTCGTCGTGTATGGATGGGCGGTGGTCGAGAAAAAGGCGGCGGACGTCGTCCGGGTAGCCGTGCTCGTCGTCTCCGTGAAGATCGGACTACTATTCGATACGGTCACGTGAAGCGCGACGGGCGGCATGGCGCGCCGTCGCCGTCCCGCCACTTCTCTCCAACGACCACCACGTGCACGACCTCTAACACAGCGAGCTCATTATCGAAGCTAGCGCGTCAAAAATGCCTCCAATGGTGGCAACATATGATGAAACGACAGGGCGCTTGCACGGCGTCCGCGAGAACGCCGATGGGAGCATCGACCAAGACTCGCTTCCGTACACCGCCCAGCTCGCCGTCAACGAGGTCACGAACTGGATCTACGACTGCCAGGAGGATGGGACAATTGAAGGTGTCGTAGATGGCTATGATACCCGCCGTTGGACCCCTCAAGGAGAGCGCAAGGCACCCAAATTCGTCCGCTTCCACCAGTTCGACAGCGGCAAACACTGCGATGAAATATTTTGGGAAGGTGTGTATACTCAGCTCTGGTAGCCCTCGCCAGTGTGTGCTCACGTACGTAGATCCATATACGTTCACTCCGCGACGCGGCAGGCTCGGCTATGTCGACTCTTGGGGTATCTACCCCGTACGTGCCGTCTCTTCTCATCTGCGACGGTGTTGACACGTCTCATTTAGCACGATGCGGACGGCCATCGCGAAGTGGACGGAATGCGTATTTATGAGCGCAGCGTAGGTCGCTGTCGGTTTTTTCGAGCCGAGTTCTCTCGCTCAAAGTGCAACAGAGCATCATGCAGCACATCTACAAGACACACCTCATCATGAAACCGCCAGAGCTCCAGTTCATCCATGCGCTCATGGACAAAAAGGCAAGGTCGTCAGTCGATTTTGCGAACTCCGTATATTGAACATTCATTGCAGGCCGCCGCCCTGAAAGACATGGACCTCGGCTACTACCTCAAAAGCGACTACACACTCTACATCTCGCTCCCGTGTGTAGGACCCCGCGACATCTGCCGCCACGCCCGCCGCTCACTGCACACACCACAGCCATATCCCGCATCCGAAAGACCCTAGGGCAGACCGGTACTGGCGGCGCATTCGCGTCTCGGGAGGACTGCCTCTCAGCGTATTTGCAGACAAAGTTTTGACACCGGTCTGGGGTTGGTAAGTGCTTTTTATTCTTGCGTGCGGGGGGCATCGCTAATACTGCTCTCTGACAGGGTCCGCAACCTCCACGCACACACTTTCCATGACTACTCGGACGGGTCCTTGTTCGGTCCTACGGTACTTATCTTATCCGAACGCAGTCCGTACCAGCAGACTTACCTGCCTTCAGGACTGCAACGCCGTCGATATGATGCACCTCGACAAATCTGGGTACGCGTACATGCCGGAGGAAGAGTGCGTCATTTACGCCATCACCGATGCAGAGAACTGATGCAGCCACACAGCTACTGCCTCGCGCATCTCCTCCGGAAGCCCGGCCAAGTGATAGGCTACCACTACGACTTTGGCGACAACTGGTGGGTCGACCTCAAGGTAAGCACCCGCCCGTGCTCGTACTGGCCAGCGGCACTCACCACAACGCCGCCCAGCTCGAGGCGATCACCCCGCCCTGGGAAAGCACAGGCGCAGTCGAGGTGCTCGACGGCGCAGGCGGCACCCCGCCCGACGGCCAGCTCACCGGCACCTGGCACTGGGCCGACTACCTCGCGCGCGCCTCAAAGTCGCTCAGCGCAAAGCGCGAGGCCGTCATCGCGCTCTTCGGCGCGACGAACTACGAGGGCCGGCTGCCGCCCACGCTGCCCACGCAGTACGACTTCGACGCGTTCGACCTGCAGGAGGCGCGCGCGCGCGTGCGGCAGGCGCTCGACAGCAAGGCGAGCATGCCGGGCGCGAGCAAGAAGGTCGTCACGCCGATCGCGAAGAACGCGCGGGACGACGATTTGGCGGTGATGCTGCGGCTGGGCGTGCACCCGAGCGAGATGAAGAAGGGTACGGTGCTTGTGCGGACGCCGGTCGCGGGGAGCACTGTGGGCGCGTTTTGGGAGGAGGGCGTGCGCGACCGCAGGATGGACAACCCGGGGAACACGGCGTGTGCGCAGTGCGGCAGTCCGAACGAGCTGAAAGCGTGTGCGCGGTGCAAGCAGCGGTATTATTGCGGCAAGGCGTGTCAGAAGGTGCGTGAATGTCATCATAGTCGGAGTAGGGCTGTTCGCTGAGCGTTGTCCAGGCGCATTGGACTGGCGGGCACAAAATGGAGTGTGCGCGCGACAGTTCGAAGACGATCTAGTGGATTTATCGTAATCTTATGTATCGCGATGCCAGTAACGTATATAGCCACTATGATTACAGGACATTCTGTTGACTTGCTGCAGCCATCCGAGTAAATCCCAAGCTGCTTGAGTGAGCGTGCTCGGGGCGAGCAAGAAGTGACCCCGGTCGCGGGGCGTGAGCGGGAGGCGCGCGGCGAAGAGGGCGCGATTCTTCGTCGGTACCGATGCTGTCGGACTGCAGCTTGCGCTGGAAGACGGAGTCGACGGAGTCCTCAAGCTTCAAGGCCTCAAGGGCGTCGTACACCTGCGATGCGCTGCCCCTAGCGACCACCTCCCGAGTACCGTCGTCCAGGCAGCGTAAAGTGCCGATACGCCGCGGCACCTCGAGTCGAAGCAGCCTGACAGAGAACTCTGTGAGGGTGTGTATCGTACGCTCCTGTGGCGAATGCGTCATTCGAGCACTGCTTGGATGCAGATCGGGCGGCGTACCTTGGCGAAGTACGGCAGACGGCCGAAGGCATTCATCAATATCGTGCCGGGTAGCAACTCGAATTCACAGATCTGGATAGTCTCGCGCGTGCCTGGGTCGGCTGCTGGTCGACGCACGGAAGTATCGTCATGGTAGTTGCAAGATTCGTGAGCGTTGTTTGATGTCGGAGCGGCTGCTGCGAACGGGCACAAGTAGTAGTTGTACGCGTTAAGATCTCGTTTTGCTGTGGGCAGTGCAGGAAGGCGTGCCGCGAGTCAACTGTATAAACCCTAGCCCTGTATCTGAATGCAGCGTCTGATCGCGCAAATCCGAGTGTACCGTTCAGCGGAACCTGCGGGTCGCTCTGCTTAGGATGTATGCTATATCGCGCAGTGACGGACTCACCGGTGCACAGGACGCATCTACATGTGAATGTTCGGTCATGACGATCGACGCCTCGAGCCCTTTGCTGCCCTTGTCTGCTCGGCGTATCTACCTGCATTTCTAGGTACATCAGTCCATATTCCACCTACCAACACATACGTCCTGGAGTCTCGCCACCCAAACCCATTCCCTCACAGTACAGCCAAGAAGGAAACTAAAACATTCGCGGCATGCGTGCAATACAGGGCGGATATATCGCACTCACTATCGTAACCACATCCGGAGCTCGTAGCAGTCGTGAGCGGGCAGAATCTATATATGTAAGGTGTGCGTGAGTAGGTCACAAACACGCCGCGCCAGGTTGAGGAAGCGGAGGATTGGGAGGCGTGTGGGAAGCGGAGGTAGGGGACGCGGCGAACGGGGGTGGGGAACACAGGACGGGGAATTGGGAGATAGGAATATGGAATATGGAGAACAGAGGCGCAGAAGAGGGGTAAAGATGTAGAGGGGCGAGGAGTACAGTATTTCTACGTGCAGCGGCGGGCGGCCCGCGCGTCCGGTCGGCGCGGTCTTCAGAGTTAGAGATGCGTGCAGGGGGGTCGTCGTAGCGTAAGGGCGGGGATATTATTCAATAGTTCAGCGGTCCAGAGAGTTAGATCGCGTTCGGTGGCGGTATCGGTGTCGTAGGGGGTGGTAGCGCAGCGGAGAGCGGACGAGGTGAGTGGGGCGCTCACCCGGAGCCGGTGAACCACTCGAGCACCTTGAAGAAGCCCCAGATGCACCCGCCGGAGATGATCGGCAGCGTCAGGTTATCGTCCAGTGAGCCCAGGTCTACGGCGTACTGTCAGTAGACATGCCAATTCGAACAACACGACGTAAAAACACGCACCGAGCGCCTCAGCAGTTCCCGAAATGAGGCCACACACAGCGCCGAGCGTCCCGAGGCCCAACCACCGGCCCAGCGGCAGCCCCGTCGCTTGTACCGCCTCCATACCCTTCGTGACAACATCCGCGAGCTGCGCAGGCAGGACCTCCTGCGCGGCGGCGAGAGTTCCCGCGGGGAGGTAGAACGCGAGCTGGGCAGCGCGCGCGTCGGGCGCGAACCAGCCCCAGAAGCCGACCGCGATAGCCGCGCCAGTCGCCGCTCCCGCGAGGAACCCGGCAAGGGACTTGCGTGGGGCGAGCGGGAGCCGGAGCACCGGGAACGTGCGGGGGAGCGGGGGCGTGTAGGCCCCGAACATGCGGCCGACGGTGGACGCGGCCGTGTCCGCCCAGGAGAGGCTGTGGGGTCGGGCGCGCGTCAGTTGGACAGGAAGAATGGGACGAGATAAGGATGGGACGAGGAGAATGGGGCGTACATGAGGATCGCGACGGTGGCGATGTCGAGGGGGTATACTGCGAGCACGAAGATGACGCCGATGATGTACCATATCACGCCGTTTGTGGATTTCTGGAGGTCGTGTGAGCGGGGATAGGAGCATAGGCAGAATGGCGCGCGTACTTTTTCGCTCTCGCGCATGAGGAAGCCAAGGCACCGCTCGTAAAAGTGCTCGAAGCGCGTCGAGCGCAGCCGGAGGATGTCTGCCGGTACGATGACAGCAAGGGCGAGACTGAGTACAAGGACGACGTTGCGCGGGTCGCCGTCGGAGGCATAGAGGTACAGCGTGAGGAAGCCTGTGAGCCGGGCGTCAGTACGCGTACCGGTGCAGGCTAGAACGCGCGCGAAACGAACCGATGGAGGAATGCAGTGTCTTCCGGGGTATCTCCCAGTCTATCTTCTGCTTTGTGGGTTTGTCGGTCTTGGTGCTACGCGACGCGTCCGAGCCATTAGGTACAACAGCGGTAGAGGGGGATGTTGAACGTGGCCGCTTTCGTTGGCGGAGTGGTGAGGTGTGGCCATTGGCGGTACCGTTTGGAGGCGACGCGCGCGACGCGACCGGGTCGTTTGGTTCTACACTCATCTGTCGAGAAGGCTTGGAAGGGCGAGTTGAGGCGGATGGGGAGCGGGCCTTGGGGCTGCCGGAGACGAAGGGTATTTTGGAAGACGAAGAGCGAAGACCAAGGCGAGGTCCGAGAGTGAAAGCGTCGTTTGCGGGGATCGACATTATGCGTGGCACAACCAACGCGTGCAGTGAGGAGGGCAGCAGCGACGATAACGAAGCGGGCGAGGAGGACGAGGAGGAGGGAGGAGGAAGAGAGAGAGAGTCGGACAGGAAAGGCGCTCCCCGCGTAGCCACGTTGCGGAGACGCCCGTACCCGGCCGTCGGCACACGACGCTCTCGGCCACAATCAACAGCCAGAGGAGAGAAAGATAGAATGGGATGGTAGTGCTACAATGGCCACAGCGCAGAAACAAACAGATTACATCCTCGTATGTACATATCCTATATCCCAACACTCCCCAACGCCTACGCCTGAGAAGGTTCCCCCGTGTCCTCCTGGCGCATCGCCTCGTGCTCATCCGGGTCGAGCCAGCTATCCTCCACCGTCGCACGCACCCTGCGCACGTACTCCTTCATGTTCTCGCGGTAGAGTTGGGCGGCCTCGGCGTTCGCGGGGCTGTTCGGGTTCGGATCGTGGAGGAGAGATTGGATCGAGGTGAGGATGGCGGCGACGTCGTATGTGGGCGACCACCGGTTCTGGAGGATGTCGAGACACAGCTCGCCGTTCGCGTAGACGTTCGGGTGGAACATGCGCGAGAGGAACTTGACGGTCGGTGGCTTGTTCGGGTAGGACTCGTCAAACGTAAGCAGGAGTTTGAACGTGCCGTCCTCGAACGGTGTGTCCGCTGTGCGAGATGAGTGCACGCTCGCGGTGAGATTATGATACAACGCACCTGGGCCGAATATCACCGCGTTCCAGAGCATGATGTTGTCGGGGCAGGGACTTCCAGAGATGCCACCGGGCGGGTCGGTGGAGAGCCTCTTGAAGTCACGGATGAGGCGGCGGCGGCAGTTCGTCGACTGTTTCTTTGTCAGAGCACACATAAAGAGCATATGCGACAAGTACTGACCATGTTGATTGTTGATCGGGAGGATGGTAGAGCGAGAGGCGGGGTGCGAGGACGAGGGGGAGGTGGTGGTTGAGAGCAGAGTGCAGATGGGCGCTTCTTACTCACGCTCGCTTCCTTTCTCTCCGCCATCTTCGCTGGGACCGACCTCGCGCCTGAACACGGCCATGGCGCTGCTGGGTCGGCTCTGGCATATGGAAGAACATATATAAGCTATGATTACCTCCTTAATCAGCCGGCGATGGTCGCTGCGCATGTGCATATTGCGTGCACGATTTAATTCACGGCCCTCGAGCTGCTGCCCACCCACGGGCGAGTGTGCGGCATCATCTTGCCTTGAGTAGGCTCTGCTGAGGTCCCTGCTCCTGTAAGTGCGCATCTTGTTTGTTGTATACTGCGTGTGCATGGTTGTACACTAACATCGGTTGTCAATTGACAGTGAATATCCTGCTCGGTGCACGCTGTCGCCGCTCGCAGCCATCTTCCTAGTCTGACCGCGACTTTCGTCTGGGACTGCGTGAACTAGTGAAGGATATCTCCGATGGCATACCATGCGACAGAGCACGCGCGTTGCTACCTGTATCCGTAAGCACTGCCAACGCTCGAATGGACCCGAAATTGATACGTCGTCGACCGCTATCCCTCCGATAATATATGAATGCTCACGTTCGCGTCTCTGGATGCTCGAGCGATCCGAGTGGATCTCGAAACTACTGCCTGCAAGGTTGTATGTCGCACTAATTTGGTTATTTTGTATCCTACAGGCTTGCCACGCGACCGTTGCTTCTGTGGGGTAATGTTAGGGGCTGAGTGCGCACGCACAGTGTCCTCGCTTGCATCTCGCAGTTGGCCAGCTAAGATCCTCTCCGCCCCAGGGTGTGATCTAAAAGTCAAGTCCCGGCGCTCAAACTCGACTTCTGAAAACCCACATATCCCCACGACCCGTCCTCTTATCAGCCGCGATCGCCCATCCCGCTCTCTCAAACCGCTCTCCTTCACCTACACGCTCACCAGCACAGATGCAGAGCTCAGACCCCGTAGGTTACTACCCGGAAGATATGCTCCGCGCTATCCTGCCCCCCGATGCACAGCATGTGTGCGACGAGGAGCCACACATGCTCATGCATGAAGACGCGCTGGGGTACATCCCCGTCCAGCTCGGCGCAAAGCTCGCCCGCGGCGCGTATGAAGTCGTCCGCAAGCTCGGCTGGGGCACCAACTCGAGCGTGTGGCTCGCCCGCGAAGCTGGCACTGGTTCGGACGCGACGTGCGTGCCCATCGTCCTACCCTGCTCGTTTAACGCTAAGCCCCATACAGAGAAGTGTCTGGGGCCCGCCCCCGCTTTGTCGCCGTCAAGATCCTCAACAAGTATACAACCGATAACGAGGGAGAGGGCATCCCGCACGAGTCCACGGCGCACTCGCGCCTTTGGAACGCATACCTCTCTGGAGTGGAGTCCATACCACACCCAGGATATGCGCATTGCCTCGTCATGCCGCCCGGCAGCTCGTTCTTTGAGACGAGTGTGCACGGGAAGCATCAATGCTATGTGAGCACGCCTTGCGGCACCACGATCGGGCAGGTCTTGGATTCTACCGGCCGGCCGTTCTCGCTTCCTGTTACGAAGCGCATCGTGAAGCAGGCTTTGCTCGCGCTGGACTTTGTGCACACGAAGGCGAAGATCGTGCACTGTGGTACGTCTAGCATCCGTCTTGCGGGCAGCCCTGCACTCACCAGAGCCTGTAGACGTGAAGGCAGACAACATGTTTGTGAAAATAACCGCAGACGATTCCACCATCGCGCGTTACCTGGAAGAAAACCCGTCCGAAACATACCCCCCGCGGGTCCACTCCAGCATCTCTGAAGGTCCGATTGTCACCGTCAAGTCCCAGCCGCTGCCAAACTTCGGTGTCGACGCGTCTTTCGAAAACCTCGAAATCTGCTTGGCCGACTTCGGCTCTGGTCAGTCTTTCCGCTTCGGTGCCAGTGGGGCGCCTCTGAAGCTTCAGACACAGTCTTTCCCTGCGAAGACATCGCACCCGACACGGTATACACCAACCCCGTACGAGACCCGCGCCCCAGAGCAGTTCCTCGGCTGCACGGGCTCGACGGCGATCGACATATGGGCCATCGGCTGCTTGGTGCGTACGCCTATACAGCCTGTCGCTGTGCGTGGGCACCCGCTGACCGCATCCCGTCCTTCCGCAGGTGTTCGAGTGCCTTACCCTGAAAACGCTCTTTACGGCCAAGAACGCAGACGACCAGCTGGGGCTTGTGGAGTACCACATCGAGTTGTTCCCTCGCGAGTTCCTCGCGCGCTCTCCGATACAGCACATGTATTTCATGCCATCAGGTGCGCAGTTCGTCACCCTCCAGCCGCGTGTGCATCAGTTATGACACAGGGATGGCAGGGGTCCATCGGGCTAGCTACTTCGGTAGGGTGAGGGCGGCCTCGCTTGAGCGCTCTATATGGGATGCGTTGTATTCATACGATCCGGCGGATCCGTCGTCCGGGGATTACGACGCAGCGTGGAGAGACCTTGAAGCGACGCGCGCGTTCATGCGCAGATGCTTGACCATCGACCCGGCGTGCAGGCCTTCTGCCGCGCAGCTGCTCGAAGACGCCTGGTTCAACACGTGAGCCAGAGCGTTCACCGCGCCCACCGCAGACTTGCAGTTTGTCGGGGCAGCAAAAACATGCGCGCGCGCGCGGCCATCCAAGTGGCGGTCTCGCGAGCATACCGTTCCTACCTACGTTCAACCGTCGGCATGTATCGTAGTTCTGGACGGCAGAAACCTAGAATGATAATATCATACGCTCGTTCCTCTCTCCCGTGTCCAGAAGGGATGCTCCCACAGACTCGTAATCCTGCGCGGGACAAGCCGCCGCCCCGCTGCATTCAGACTTGCGTCGGGCTGCCGCTCCAGCGCCCACAACTCTGTGATGCCCACCCGCCGCGCGTACTCCGGTATCTGGTGGTAATTCAGCCCCACCGCGTGTGGCCCGTGACTGTCGTCCGACAGCGCGAAGTGACCGCCTTCCTGAAGGATGATCTGCGCCCCGTCAGCGAACGCGTTCATTTATAGAGGAAGCCGGGCGTACCTCGACGACTTCGGTTCCGGGATATGGGGAATCCCAGCCCTTACGGAACGCGGCAGCGTTGAGCTCGAAGAGGGCGCCGTACGTGGCGGCGAAGCGCACGTTCCGCCGGATGAGTGCGAGGGCGGCGGGGTAGTCGGCGAAGCGGAGTGTGGGACGGTAGAGTCTGCAGAGATCGAAATGGCCAATGATTTCGGGGTGGAAGCGGCGCATCAGCTCGTGCTGGGCGTCGAAGTAGGCGCAGAGGAAGGCTTCCATCGTGTCGTGCTCTTCTGACGGCGTGGCTGGTGTTGAATGTGCGAGCGCGGCGGAGGCGGGGGAGCGAAAGCTGTCAAGAGATTTAAGGAATGTGTCCTGGTCGAAATCGATGGGGATGCCGCGGACGTGGTGTACGGAGCCGACGAGGTACTCGACGCGGTCGCCGGACGCGCCGAGGAGCGCCTCGAGTTCGTCCATGTCGGTCTGGGTGATGAACTCGGTCTCGAGACCGACCAGCAGGGTGATCTGGTCAGCGTATTTGGCCCGGAGCCTGTGCGCCTCCGCTAGGAAAGCATCGAACTGGGCGCGTAGGGTGTCGAGGGACATGCCCTCCTGCGCTCCATCACCGAATCAATATGGGCGCATTCGTCGTAGGTGGCTGTCGCTCACCTCTTCTGGATATAGATCCTGGGGCCGATAGCGTGGGACGTGCTCTGTGAGGCCAAATGTGTCCAAGCCTTGTCGGATGGCTTCGAGCACGACGTCCTCGAGCGTGCCGGCGGCATGTTTGCAAAACTGGCCGGAGTGGGAGTGATGGCTTTGGGGCATCGATATGCACTGTAGTCAGATGGAGGTTTACACGAGCCTCCTGAGTGGGGGAACACAAAATCCGAACTTGCGGCCACTCGCGTGGTGGCGGTGCCGAGAGAAGGTGGACGGATAATGGCGCCCACTTGGGCTTTCGACCGCTACCGTCACTGCTGGGGCCACACCAAGGCCACACTCACAACCATCTCACGCTCTGACTGCAGCTTCACGAAGACCGATGCATTTTGCGACGACAGTTCAACTATACTAGCAGGACAACGCCGCCATGCAATCTGCAATCAAGTTGAGAACAGTCTGAGCTTTGCCAAGGTCAGGACTCTGAGCTGCGCGCACACTCAAAAATTCTTACCTCAGCCTTTGTAGACAGTCTCGATAGTGATGTTTCCCAGCGCGCCGCTGTCGATGTTTGCGCCCTTGTCGTACACGTCCCAGCCGGAAAGCGAACCGCTGACGCTCCACTTGTTCGTCTTGCTGCCCCAAGGGCAGTCCCAGTACACCGATCGGATGATATCGTCGCCCCGGCTCGGGTCGACAATGTTGAAGCCGCCCTCTGTCCCAGACGACGCGTTCGACCGTCCGCAGCCAGCGATCGTCAGGGTGCCGTTGGGGTTGATCGTCGTGTTTTCAAAGTACGATGGGGACACTTCCTTGTCCTTGTTTCCTGTGCGCACGTAGAGTGAGGTGAGCACAGGTCAGGCGTCACGCGTGCTACACCACGGTTACTGACCCTCAATGTACAACTTGCCCCAGGACCTGTAGACGTTCTTGATCTTCACCGGGCGAGGCCCGTAGTTTATGATCTCGATGCTGACCCACTGCGCATACGCGCGATGTCTGTCATCATTGTCGGAGACGACGAAGTCCTCGCTAGTGCGGACATCCTCGGTGACGCAGATGCCCTCAGCGATAGGGCGGGAAGGGTGAGCGAGTTCGAAGTTCATGATGAGTAAGTGTGGGGTGGATGGCTGGATTGACACTCGCTGACCGCGCCCCCAGTATATATATTCTTGACGGGCGCCCTTCGTGAGTCCTCCCGCGCCCCAGGAAGACGGCGGAATTTGCAGTCCGCCAGTCGAGCTCAACATTGGGACTTGGATCGACGGCTTCAGCCTCGTTCGTCATTCACAATCCAAGCCGTGGTGCCTGGCGGCTGATGTCACCAATCCTCCAGCCCACTCGGAGCAGGCAGCGCCGCTCGCTAGACGCCCCTGTTACGTTCTTACGGTGAGTTCTGCATGGAGCTCAAGTCTTCTCGCCGGCGCCGGTGATCATGGGGGCGCATCGTGCAGCACCTCGGACGAGAGGGTCGTCCGGACGAATAACCAACGACCTGCCAAATGGCACGACGAACATGACATACGATTGCGTCAAGTGACATTCTACCATTCAAGAACACGCGGGCTTGTTCCGAAGAACATTGAAGAATCCGGGGGGCATGTCGAAGACCATTCTCGTCGTCCGAGTAGATGTCAGACTGAGCGCTCGCCGCTGCCGCTGCCGCTCGGCCGATGCGTGTCTGGCAGGCTCCACAGGCGTAATATTCTGGTCCTCTACCCAGCAACTGCCTTTACTAATTTTCGATTCACAACAGGTTTGCGTGAATTGTCGCCGTTAGTTGGAGCCGAACTGGCCTGGGGTGCGGGGTCTACCGCGGTGCGGGCTTTACGAATTTGGCGCCAGGGTGTCGTAATTGTGCTCTGGGGAGCAGACGTATTCTGTGTTCTCTCGGCATCACCTGAGGTCTGCCATTCTGGATGTGGACTACCTCTCGCGATGACACCAAGAACACACGGCGGTCCACATATATACAAGCATCTGCAGCGTCGCTTTCTTCATATCATCTGTTTCCCTACATACCTGCCACAACGTTCCTACTCACTACTACGCAACCATGGCCACCGCTCCCGCCCGCACGTTCATCGACTATTCCGCTTCCCCTGTGAGTCCCGCTGCCCGCACCTTGATTCGTGCCTTACTGACACGAAGATCTGCCTCAGGCCGTTGCGGCAGCCGTGCGAGCAGCACCACGCCCTCGCACGAGCGGCGACACCCTCGTCGACGTCATCAAGGACGACGTGCGCCGAAACAAACTGGTGCGGGGCACTCCTGCCCGCTCGCTTCCCACGTCGTGCTGATCGTAATTCGTAGATCGACGACAACAATCTGCTCAAGGGTGTCCGCATGACCGCGCTTGGCCCCGCTGTGAGCGCACAAGAACTCATCGCGCGCCCCTCCACCCTCCAAGCCGCCATCGACCAGAGCGCGAGCATCCACACGACGACGGTCGAGGCGGAGTACACACAGAAGCTCCTCGAGTCGAACTACACCGCCGTCTCGGTCAAGGTCTCCGCACCTTAGTACGTCCGCCTCCTTCCCCCGGTCGCGCCTTTGTTACAGTGCTAAGGTGCACCTTTCGTTAGTGTGACAGCCGGCGCAGACTACTCCCAGGAATCCAGCTATGAGAACACAGAGACGACGAAGACCGTCCTCGTGTCCTCGCGCTATCTCTTCCCGCAGGGCCGCATAGACTTCGCGGCGCCCGGCTCCGGGTTCGCAGGCGAGATCGAGCTCAGCCAGGGCTTCACGACCGCACTCGACGCTGCGCTCGAGAAGCCGACGCTGGTCGAGCAGCGCGAGGCCCTCGATGCGCTGTTCAACGAGTACGGGCAAGTCTTCCGCACGCGCGTCCAGCTCGGCGGAACGTTGTCTGCCCATACGTCGGAAACGTACTCTCGGACCGTAAGTTTAGAGTATTTGTGATCAAATGGCAACCCGTGTAACGGCCCTAACCTCTGCGCCTGACAGGAAAACGAGACGTCCGTGAAGCGGGACGTCACAACTAGCCTGGAGGTCGCCGTGCAGAACTGGGGCTTGGGTGTGACCGGCAGCCACGGAAACCTCGAGACGACGATCACAACCGCGGAGAACAGGGTGCTGGACGTGAAGTACCTTGTCCAGGTATGCATCTAGATTCCTGTTCTTTGTGCGCTAGTGGCTCATGGCCGGGGTTCGTGTGATGTTACAGGGCGGCGACTACACGCAGATTCTCGACACGGACGCGTGGATCGCGTCGACGGACGACTCCAACTTCTGGCGCGTCGTCGAGGTCACCGAGGTCGTCTCCGTCGTCGACTTGCTCCCCGAGCCGAAGAGGAGCGTCGTCAAGAAGCTCATGGTCCCGCTGCTCGGCGAGTGAGTTCCTCATCCCACCCGCTCCGTTCTACATGTGCTCACTGATTCGCCGCAGATGGGTGTCAGTTGAGCAGGTGCCGTACACAGACAATTTCCCGGTGAAGATCTACCAGCCCAAGAACGCGATTCCCGACGGGTGGTTCTGGCTCGGACACAGCGCGGACGGGAGTCGTGCCCTCATCGTCAAGCCCACTCTACCGCGGAAGACCGGCCGGAACTATGCGCTCGCGAACGGGAAGTCTAGCGCTGGTGAGTGCTAGACAATTGCATGATTTGGCCGGGGAGGTGACGGTGCTGATGGGCTTTGTAGGCATCTCGAACCAGCCGTGGCCGGCTTTGCCTCGCTATGAGTTTCTGTCGACTTACTTCAGCGGATTCGACCAGTCAACGCGCCTCGGTGAGACTGTCGCGGCGCTGAGGCCGGGGCTCTTCCTCGAGGGCGATTGGAAGCTCGTAAGTAGTCTTAACGGCTGTTTATCGAGTCCGCTAAGATATGTCGTCGTAATAGGTCGGGGACAACCCCAACACTCTTTGCTACATCACGGTACGTCCTTTCAACGGAATATGCAGGTTACAGCGCGACACTGACCATTTCCCTACTTGCGGGACCAGTCTCCGAAGCAGTATGAGGGCGAGGAAGACGAATGTCTCAACCTGCAGTCTGTCATCCAACTGAAGCTGCCTGGCAACCCCAACGACAACCCGCCGAAGCCGCGGTGGGCCATCCGGAAGAGCGCGGTCTTGTTCGACTCGGGTGAGAAGTAGATGGACGCGAGGTCAATTTTCAACGGTCGAGCAGTATGAAATGTCACGAACTGCTTGGAATGACAAATGGCGTTTGTTGTCGAAGGTGCATAATGCAGGTAGTGCGTATCTCCGGATGACCTTAGCTATGCTGAGACGAGAGTGTATATATTGGCTCGACGTCGTGATGGATGGTAGGTCAACGGATTCTCGTCGTCGTTCAAAGACAGGATACTGCGGATGCACGCGAGGTCCATAGCTCGACGCGAAGGGTACCCGGTAGAGCGCAGAGAAGGGTAGATTGCTATCCTCGAGTGCGCGGGCGAGCTGGGCGCGAATATCAAAACTCATGATACAGAACAAGCACACTCAGCATAACATAGCATACAATACAAATGAACAAGATGTACTAATCGTCCTCGTCACCATTCGAGCTCGCGACGTCGCTGTTCGCATCGTCCTCTGCCCTCGCCCGGTTCGGACGGCTGCTCTCTCGCGCGCCGGACGCCTCTGCCTCCGCGGTTTCCTTCGCACTCGCGTTGGCGGCGGCGGCTGCGGCGAACCCGGAGAGGACGTTCGTCGACGCGCCGGCGCCCTTCGCTTGCATGGCCTTCCACGCGTGCGCCATTTGGAGGAACTTGAAGGTTGTCGGGTTCGCCTCGCGCTCGTCGTCCGCGAAAACGATGTCCCAGTCTGCAAACAGAATGCTTGGCTTAGCGGGAGATGAACGAGGGACTAGCAGGGACGTACCTTCGACCGTCTGGCCCGTCTCCTTGTCGACGATGCGCCGTTTGCTCGTAATGGGCATCATGCCCTGCACCTTCACCACGTCTTCCGCCGCGCCGTACTTCTCCTCGAATGCCTTCCATATCTCAAGGAGGACGACGCGCTATAATCATAGCATTAGCAACCCTCGAACCATGACGAGAACGCGCATCACATACCTCGTGCTTAAGACCCTTGCCCTTCAAGTCCTTGTATGCGCGGTCGAAGATTTGCCGCGCGCGGACAGGGTCGCCCTCGACCATCGGCACCTCGTCTTCATCCTCGTCCTCCTGTTCCTCGCGCTGCGCCCGCGCGACGGGAATCGGCTCCGCCTCGAACGTCGCGTACGAGATCCAGACCTTGACGTGCCCGCTTGCTTGAACGAGACGCTCGTACAGCGCGCGCGCGCGTTCGCGTTCGCCCTCCTCCGTCTCGAAGTCGATGTACGCCTTCCAGAGCAACTCGGGCATCGAGAGCGCGGACTGAGCAACACCGAGCTCGAAGATCGCACGTACGCGCGCAAAGTCCTCGAGCTGCGTCTCGAGCTCCGCGTACTTGATCCACGCGGCCGAGTTTGAGGGGTCCCACTGCGCAGACGGGGTCAGCAAAACGTAAAACATGACATCCAGGTGGCTTACCTCAAGGTACTTCTCGTATAGCGTCCGGACACGGTCGAATTCACGCAGCTGTAGGAAGCAGTTAGTACCGGGCACGTTGACAGAGTGCGATGACGTACGTCGAACTCGAGCTGGATGTAGCCCTTGAAGAGCGCCTCCTTGGGGCACATCCCGATCGCCGTCCCGAGGATCTTGCGCGCCGCGGGGAGCTTGAGTTGTCGTACCTCGAACCGCGCGAACGTTATCCACAGCTTCGCGAACGTAAACTGCTTGTGTGGCACAAGCCGGATCGCGGTCTCGTAAATCTGCCGCGCACGTTCGTAGTCCTAGCGCGAAGTGAGTGTCATAGCGGTCACGGGCACGCGATGCGGGCGTACCTTGGTCTCAATCTCCTCGAACAGCGCGTAGTACAACCAGAGGAAGATATAACGTCGCCAATGACGCTTCTCTCCTCCTGGCGGTACTTGCGCGACCGCGCGCTCGTACACTTCGCGGACCCGATTTGTCGCGCGCTCCTCCTCCTCGCCAGTCGACCCCTCTTCCCTCAGATCGCGTAGGGCGCCCTCTTCGAGTCGTGCGTAGTCGAACCACACGTCGTAGTTGCGGCCGTCGTGGGAGAGCTCCTCTTCGTACTGTATGCGCCGCTTGCCGAGCACGGTAGACTCGAGTGTGGAGCGCGTACCGTGCTGCTTCTCGAATTTTGTGTACGCCGCATACAGTGCGGCAGATTTTGATCGAGGAAGTCTGGATAACGCGAACTGCACAAGTAATGAGAAAAGCAATCTAGCAATTGGGCGGATGGTACGCACCTTATAGATAACACGTGCCCGCTCGTACTCCTTCAACCGCGTCTCCATCTTCGCGAACGCGTTGAACACCGCCTGCGCCTTCTCGATCTGCTCCTCGTCGTCGCCAAAGAACTCGAGCGCGGTCTGGAAGACTTCGCGCGCCTTGTCGAGCTTCCCGCGCTCCTCTTCGAACTTGCCCCACTTGACCCACACGCGCGGCTCTGGACGCACCGCGACCCAGCGCTCGAAAATCGCGCTCGCGCGGTCCTGCTCGTCGTACCGCTGCTCGAGCTTGATATACGCCTGCCACGCCTTGTCGTCCGGCTCCCACTGCATCCAGCGCTCGAACACCTGGCGGGCGCCCGGGACGTTCCCGAGCAGCTCTTCAAGGTACACATACTTATACCAGAGCTGGTCGACGCGCGGGAGGAGGGTGACGGCGCGGTCGAAGAGGTTGCGCGCGTGCTGAATGTTGCGGCTCTTGAGCTCGACCTCGGAGTAAGAGAGCCAGAGCTGGACACTGCGGGGGTCGACGTCGAGCGCGCGTTCGAAGACCGAGCGTGCGCGGGGGAATTCGCCTTGACTGGCCTGTGAAGAAGGTTCAGTACACGCGAAGCTCGATGTTGTTGCCTTGTCTCTCATCCAGCATCAGGAGGGGACATAATATGCCGCCCGAATAGCGCTGATCCTCAGCCCTTCCGATGCAAACCCTCCTAAGATGCGTGGTGACGAGACCGAACGTGAGTGAAAGTACGTACCTCCCAGTTCGCGTATTGAAGCCATTCTTTCCTACAGGAGTGTTAGGGGAGTACTGAGAGAGCTCACAGGAAGGACTCACATGCTACCCCGGGTCTGCCTGATTCGCTTCTCAAACTCCTCGCGTTTTCGGCCTCGGTACTCATGGAGCTCCTCAAAGTCTTCGACGCGTTGTTTCGGAGCGCGAAACTGCGATTCCTGCCGTTCCTGGGCCTATAAGGTATCGGGTTGAGTGGACCGTACGGTGTGCAAGGGTGAGTAGAGTGCCCATACATCTCGAAGGAGCTGCTCGGCGGTGACTTGGATGGCGGCAGGTGCGCGGTTCTTGATCCTGGAAGTCAAGCTAAGTCGGTCTCAGTGCATATAGCGAATGTTGTTGAACTTACCGTGGCGCTCGTCCGTCCTGCATGGTGTCGCGTCGCGCGCTGGAGAAGACGAAGGAAGGGGAGGGAGGAAGCTGCAGAGGAGGTGGACGTCGAGGAGAAGCAAGTCTGACCCCTAAGCGCCCACACACAGGGCGTGGTACTGGGCGCCTCCGCCTTTGATCGCACCTTCGCACGAACGTCCACCCACTCGCTCTGGCCTCCATGTGTGAGTAGCCAACTTCTGATACGTATATCCTGGTGCTAACCTTCAGCGATATAGATCATGTCCGAGACGGCCCCTAGCGCCACCGACGTCCTCCGTGCCCACTACATACCATATACCTACTGGTACGAGTACGCCCTCCGCCACCACGGCTCTAAAACTGTCCTCTTCTCCGTCTACCTCCTCGTTGACTCAGTCACCGCCTCGAACACGCGTTTGCAATCCGCCGGATGGGTTCCTGGCGAGGTCCCCATGTACACATCGCAATACTACGATCCCGCTATCGACGAGCAAGTCGTTCTGGAGTACCCCGGAATCGAGTGGTCTCATGTGGTCCTAATGGACGCGCATACGTGGGCGGACATCACCCCCTCCGCGGCGGCAGACGACCGCGACCATTATCCGACCCTCGTCCAGCTCTACAACGCGCTCGCGCAGCGCTTCCTCGACACGGACTGCTTCGATCACCGGCAGCATCTGACCGTCCAGATCGCGTACATGTACATGCACTGTCCCGTGCTCGCCACCCCAGAATTCCTGGCACGTCTGCCGGCCGACATACAGCAGTTCCACTTGGACTACCTTTCGGACGATCTGCGCATGAACGCGCTGAAGACGGTGGCGCATGAGCGCATGATTCGGGATCGTGCCCGGAGGGGCGATTGGCGCCTCATGCCCGAGGGGTCTGTATCCCTAGGCGGGCTCCCTGTCCCGCATGAGCTCGAGGCCCAGTGGGCTGCCGAGATCGAGAAGAAGTACCGCGACCGTTATCCGGAGGTCGAGGAGGAGTACGACGACGAGACGAGTACGCACACCGCGACAGCAATATTGCCACCTCGGCTGCAATAGCACCAGTTGAAGCCGGGTATGTGACGTCAGCTTTTCATGGCTAGTTCTAAGAGCACTCCTCGGGGCACTCAATTCTGTTCGTTTATTTCTACTATACTGATTCACACCGCTTCGGGTAGACAGCCATCCCGCACAGCACTGCGAATTCTTCAGAAACCGTGCGGTTTATTCCCGAAGACTTCCAACTGCGAAGATGGGCGTCGAGAGGAGGGGCCAAGGAGGATGCTCGGGCGCGAAGGGTGCGACCCTCGTCGTCCGCGCGGCGACGCAGCATGTGCGTGTACCAAGTGCCCGCGTTCTCTCCGGCTGTCTGTCACTCGCTCTCGGCCACTGCGGCCCATGCATATACAATCTTGGCGATCTTGCACTCACCAGTACCGATGTCCACCTTCGCAGCCTGGTCTTCAACCGTACGTCCTGGTTGCCATCACTTCGCGTTGTGAGCTCCTCTTATCTAACACTCTGCATTTGCTGGTATGTTATTCCTCCAAGAACTCGCTTGCGCAAATAAAGCGGTACACGAGACAGACACGGTCTGGAACCCTGCGCCCTGTGGTAGCGGGCGAGCACGGAAAACTTGCTATATCCGGCTCTTTTGCCCATAAGTAACAGCCAACAGTGCTGCATCGTCCTCAGCCTGCGGTATCACGATGGGCCTCATGTCCCCGAAACTGCTCTTTGAGAATGACTCTCATCCAAGACTTGACAATGACTCCCATCATTTCGCTGTGTGTTAATGTTCGGTTCCCGGGTTCTACTCGGTACAACACACGAGGGCCCTGTCATAGGACAGGTGCCCCTATATATAGCTACACCTCTCTCCTACTATACCTTAGTTGGTTCTGCACCATCTGAGGTATGTCCCCCCGCTATCTTTCCCCCCATTCTCACCATACTCATGTACCGCTATAGCTCAGTCTGACTCGTGTCTAGGTACATATACAATGAGTTGGTTCCGCACCATCTGAGCTCAGTTTGGCTCGTGTCTAGGATCTAACAGGTTATGAGCTTTCTGGTTTGATCCCAGTCGATCAAACTCCTAGACCAAGGTCACGACAAGCTCGTGCAAACCACGCACCCACAGACGTGTGACGAGACATTGAGAATGATCCCTATCATTTGGCTTATCATCCCGTGCAAGATTTTCACCTTTTCACAACGGTGGCTGTACCTCTCGTGCGTCGAAGTTTCGCACGCCTCCCTTATAAGGAGTTGCGTCGCGTGGGTTAGGGAGGGGAGCACACCGAGCGAAGCGAGGTGTGCGACGACGACGACGAGTGGGGAGGCGAATAGGACAACAGGGGATGGAGATCACTCCAACCCATCCTGTTTCGACTCTTATACAGTCTCATCAGGTCCTGCTTAGTTCTTTCGATAAGGTTCAGCCACAAGGTCCCGGAACTACGGGATAGATCCTTGTGTGATTGTTGCTGACACACGGCCGCCGGGGGCGCAGCCCCCGGCCATGAGACAACGGATACGTGATCCGATGATCAAATACTGATTACTTAGCGTCCCGACGTCGTCGCACATCTTGATCCGGCAAGATGCAATGCCCCATCACCCCGGCATCGTGCGGCCGGGGAAGACATGACATCATGGATGACGTGTGGTGCTTGATGACGCAATAGGTCTAGAACTTATGACGTCACCGAGCCCGAAATTTAACCCTGTTTTCCTAAGCCCTGTTGGGGTTAGGGAAGGGTTCTGGTCAGGATTTTGGCAGGTAAGGCTAGGGGAGAGTGAGTTACATGCAAGATATTGAGATTTAAAAATAAATATATTAATGGGCAGGAGCGCGCACGCGGGCGCCTAAAAGGTGTAGCTGGAGCGGGAGACCGCTGGAGCTACGCCAAGTGGGTGTTTAAATATCAAAAGAAGGCAGTCGCGCTCGAAGTAAGAAAATCAACCGAAATTGTACCGACTGTGTCGTAATTAAAGGCTGTGAGATGGGGAATGCGGGAGGTAATATAAAAATGGAGGGTGCATCGAGAGAGGGAGAGACGAAGAGGAAAGTGAGGGATCGTGTAAGTGCAGAAAGGAGGAGAAAAAGAAATGAGGGAGGGATGGAGGGACGGAGGGCGCGAGGCGGGGGCAGGAAGTGGGAGGGAGAGGGGAAAGGGAAGGTGGGGGGGAGTGGCAAGGACGAGGTAAAAGAGGGCAGGGCGGAGAGTGAAAGTCGGCTGTGGAGGAAAGATTTACAGGACGTGTAAACTGCCTGGTTAGGGTAATGTCAAGGTCAGCCAAGGTTCAGTCTAGTGAAATCCAGTGTTGCCGCCCTAAATCTAGCAGTCAAGCCAAGGTTTAGCTGATTGAGATATAGATACTTCATGATCTATTGCTCCAGTAAAAACAAGTGTAGCTGCCACAAGTCAGGTTCTCAACCCAAGGTCAAAGCAAACATACCAGAGTTAGCTCTAGGTACAGGTTGCTGTATGCTTTGCCTCGTTCACGATCACGTTCATCGCAGCAGCAGTCTTGAGGGTATGTCTAGCTACAGGTGACTGCGTCAAGTGGCAGTCTTACATGCGCGAAGATTATGTGGTCTAGCAGACAGCTGAGCTGCTCATCCGCATTTGCGATATAAGCAGCTCTCCGCTTCACACTTGCAAAACGCGCGGTCTAGCAGAGCGCTGCTTGTCCGCGTTTGCAAGTGCTATGCCACGGGCAGAGTAGTCACAAATCGCACGGTCTAGCAGAGCACTGCTTGTCCGCGTTTGCAAGTGCGTGTACACAGCGCTCTGGCAGAGGCCTGCTACGCCGCGGGCACAGTAGCGCATCGCGCGATGTGCTCATCTGCGTCCACACTCGCAGATCGTGTATACACGGCGCTCTGGCAGAGGCCTGCTACGCCGCGGGCACAGTAGCGCATCGCGCGATGCGCTAGCGCTAGGGTTAGCGCTAGGGTTAGGGAGGAGGAGCACAACGAGCGAAGCGAGTTGTGCGACGACGACGACGAGTGGGGAGTCGAACTAGGACAACAGGGGATGGAGAAAACTCCAACCCATCCTGTTTCGACTTTTAACAGTCTCATCAGGTCCTGTATAGTTCATCCGATAAGGTTTTTCCCGGCATCGCGGCCGGAACTGCGGCCTGTGCGATGCGTAACATTGCTTACATGGGATATCCAATCGCGGATACGCGATTGGCTGCTATTGTTCGAGCTGTTCTAACAATAGTATCTGATTACTGATGCTGTTCCCGTCATCGGCGCACAGCTCCCGTGCTGTGACTAA